ATAGTTGATTATTCTTCTCATATTCGACTGTGATTGGTCAATTTTCTACGACTTAAAACCCTACGACTGCTACGACTTCTATTGTAGACCCCACATAATGCATAGGACGGAATCCATAGGCCGGTCTAAAGCGGGGAGCACAGACTCTTGCATAACGCATAACACATAAGGCATAAAAAATTCATCCGATCAAAGTTCTTTATTTCATGGAAAGGAAGGAAACTTTGATTAGTTTATTTTCTTATGCATAACGCATAGTGCATAAGGGAATCAACTAATCAGAATCTTTCCTTTCCTTCCATTCCATGGAAAAGAAGAATTTCGATTGGTCGATTCCCTTATGCACTATGCATTATGCGTTATGCAAGAGTCTGTGCTGCGGCCATCATGGCCATTCTACAATAAGCCATTAGTCATAAATCAGAAGTTAGAAGCTGGAAATCGACGACTGTGATTGGTCAATTTCCAGCTTTTAACTTCTGATTTATGATTAATGGCTTATTGTAGAATGCGTGTCATTCTTAATCTCAAGCAATGTCTTAAGATGCTAATACGGCTCTCTGATTGGTTCATGCACTAGCTTAATGCTCGTATTCATAGTCAGACCTTGTACTTAAGGCTTCCTTAAATTTATCTTTAGATGCTTAGTAGCCAATAAAATCATTCGTAGAGCATCTGAAGATAAATTTAAGGAAGCCTTAAATATAAGGCCCGACTATGAATACGGGTCTAAGACTATCTCGAATCTTGAGCAACGTTTATGGATTCCGTCCATAGTAATATCTAATATGATACGGGCTTTATAGAAGCGTCTTATGCCCGTATTCATAGTTTGACCTTGTACTTGAGGCTTCCTTAAATTTATCTTTAGATACTCAGTAGCCAATGAAATAATTCGTAGAGTAGCTGAAGATCAATTTAAGGAAGCCTTAAATATAAGGCCCGACTATGAATACGGACATTAATTATTTGGTGCTCACAATGCTCGCAAGCTTTTGTTCTTGTTTAACATTTGATAAACAACAAAAATGAAATGATTCCATGAACGTTGCAAGTGTCGAGTAGAATGCATCCAATGTCCAATATGTTGTGTCATACCGCATCAACAGTTAATAATAGATATCATTAGATGATAGTGAATTTAAAGCGAATTAGTTAAACGTGCGTTGATATTATCAACGAATCACTTTATCAACATTGTGATGCGTTTCGCTTTTATCCATCGAGTTTATCGCCATGTGAAACTCGTGACAAGATTTCTCCTATTTAGAAGAAAGATTACGCGGAAATATACATATATAGCAAATAATACAGATGAATAAAATAGAATGGAATTTGATTCAAGATTTTTACAAAATATTAATCATCAGCCGTTTGTTACTTTCGATTTCCGTCATTGACAAAACTGTCTTTGCCATGCGCTTTACGCATCGAACTATTACGTAATTTGCCCAAATTTACCTCTGCGATCGAATCTCTTCGATCGCATAAAGGCAAGACAAATATTTATTCTATTATAGATTGAATCTGTTCGAATTAACGACCCGTCAATGTTGGTCTTATTGTGTATTCAGCTCTCGGGACTAAACATTCGTGCATTAACCCGATCACCTTCGAATCATTGACTCCCAGTGAGTAGGAGTTAATGCTGACAGTTTGGCTGCGTTCCGTTTCTCGCATGATGCGCATAATGCATTATTTATCCTTGTTTAACATTCGGTGAATAACAAGGATAAAAGATGCATCATGCGCTTGATGCATGAACGGAACGCAGCCCTAGTCAGCAAATTCAAACAGAATGTTGTAATATCAACTACGTCCGCATTAAGCTCATATCATGTTCAACATATAGCCTGCTGAATAGAGCAAGAGATGTTATTTTATAACTATTTCAATGAAATACGGCATCTCTAAATTTTTAGTAATATCACCATATTCTATTGCTGAATTTTTTTCTGTAATCGACGCGCAGAATATATGTCATCGTATTCTATTCTTCTAGGAAACTACAATGGAAACAAGCTGAATTTATCCTGTAATCAGCAGAATGTCATCATACTTTATTCTCTCAGGAAACTGCAATGGAAACAAGCTGACGTTATTAATTCTCATTAGCATGTTTCCTGTCAGCTTAATTATTTCAGATTCTGTTATGCGTATATATTGGCTTTCATTGATTATAACAGATTCGATAAATTTCGAAAAATTTATTTTCAAATATTTAGTATATCTGGAGAAATATATGTAAACGTTACTAAAGTTAAATGTTGAATATATATTGTAAATATTTATCATGTCAACGATCAAACGATTAATTAACAAATGTCCTGCATTCTTCAGTCATCAGACTCATCTCAAGCAAAACAACAAGTCACGATAACGTCAAAATGACATTAAAATGAATCGGAAATGATTGAAAAATGACTTTTATCATTGACTTTGATCATTTTGACATCGTTTTGATATTATAATGACTCGTGGTTCTGGGATGTGACAGTAAAATTTATCCAGGGTTGGCCTGATCGAACTCTGATAAAAGTCCTTTTCGCTTTTCTTCATCACTGCATATTATAGTATACATTCTTTCCAGCGTGTTCTTCTCAATGGCGTCGGAACACGTGCACGCGCGCCTCTCTCAGCAGGTAAGAGGCACGCGTTTGCGTAACGCCCTATTGCACACACTCACACATCAAACGTTGTTATCGCGACCGTTGCGCGATCCGCGCTCCGAAAGGTCGTCTCTTCCGACACAACGTTCGTCCGGTGATGTCACGTGCGATACGCTCGCGTAAATCATGATATCGAAAAGAGGAAAAAGATGCACATTTTGGAATGGGAACTCTCGTAATTTACGTAACCTTTGAAGCGCAGATAAATATCCCTCCCCCCCTCCTCTTCTGTAGAGGGTAAGAATACTCCAGCGTGCTCTTCTGCTCGTGTCATATTTCACACGTTTCAAAACTTTAATTGTATATAAATTATTTCACGCTTTATTAAATAATGTCAACATATGTGTTTTGCATTTTGTCCTTATCAAGAGATAAAAAAAAATCACATTAAATAAATCACTCATATTATATATGAAACATTCGAAATGAATTTTAATTAGAATTTCCATTGGATTATTAAATAATATTCCAATGGAAATAATTCCAATTGAATAATAATTAGAAATAATAATAATATAACAATAATAAATATTATTATTATTTCTATTGTAATTTCTGAAATGTAGAAAATAATTGAACAATTCCAATTGGTATTTATTCCGAATAATTCCATAATACGTACCTAAGTTTCCGGAAAGGAAATAGAAGGAATGCGTACCATTTGTGTATGGGTAGAATGTAGGTGTGTATGTGATCAGCTGTCACATCCCCAATTCCTATTGCGGCCTCTGAAGGAGGCCTCGCGTAGGACGTTAGTAGGTATTGAAAACACAATAGTAAATGAGCAAAAACTACCGTCCGCATTTCCGTCGACAGAAAGCATCGACCGGACGCCTGGGACACCCTGTATACGTGAGCGCGCTTCGCTCCGCCCCGGAGGAAACGATATATCGGCGAGGCACATGGTCAGCATGTCGATATATTCTGCGACTCCGAGGATTTGCTCTCGGCTGCCGAGATCTGCAGACCGAGAACCGCCGAGACGAACCGACGTGGTTCCATCAGGACCGGAAAGTAGGCGACCCTGAGAGGCAGCGGCGAGGGAGACGTTCCCGTCCGAGTGCAGCGAGTTCGCGAGGAAGGAAGAGACAATTAGCGATAATAATAGCAAACGATAAGAGACGTGACTAAGTAGGAATGATAGATTCTAAGGTGTTACCGCTGCGAGACGGAAGAGAGGATTCTCGGGATGAAAATACGATGTACGACAAAGACGTCTCCGCGACGAGAATAGAAAGGATTAAAATGGATCGTTCTGAGAAATAAACGAGGAGTAGTAGGACATGAATTATTCGAAATGGATTCTATCGGAAGTATTTATAATTGTTTCTAGGTTTCTATTATGTTTTTTTAGGAAAAACTGAATAATTCCATAATCCACACATGCTCAGAGGATCAATCATGTAATTTTTCCCTTAACGCGAAAATGTGAAAAGTAAAAATTTTTATGTATGTATAATATATAAACACACAATATATAAAAATTTTATATTCATGTTTCCACCCTACTAGAGAAAAGATGGATACCCCTAGGACTCGATACTTTCAACGTACGTACTTTTCTTGAACGGTTGATCCATTATAGGATCTTTCTGTTGTACTCTGTGTAATTAAACATCGAATATCCTGAATGACGAGAGTATAGTTTCTCCCTGGGGCACTGCCCAGAACCGCGGGACTTCCGGTGAATCGATTAAGGCTGCTTTGCTTTTAACTTAAGAGACACAGACAACACGAGTGTCGTTCTATCTTATTTGTTAGTCATTGAATGTCAACGACGTTTGTATTGATCATGATTGTGATCGGGCTACTTTTCGCAATTTGCTTATTCAATAAAAAAAACAATTGGGCAACGGTAGCCTAATTTATAATTGGGCGCTATTTTTCATTGCAAATTTACTTCTTGAGTAATCCAAATTACGAAGAATAGTCCAATCTGACAAACCCTGGTATCTTTTAAAAGGAAAATAGCCTGAAGCTGATATTTCATTTGTGCGTTTTTATCGTACGACAAATTTTTCAAGCCTGTTGATTGGCTATAGAGATCCGAGGTCCTGCACACATTTGTCGTATGGCGAAAACGCACAAATGAAATGGCACCCTGAAACGAAACGCCGGGAAGAAGGGACCATCGAGAAGAATGACGCGCTTCTTCCGGCGTCGGGACGGAATCGGAATTGCACAGAATTGCAGAGGGCGCCCGGGCTGCGCCACTTTGCCATCGCCATCACCGTCGCCAGCTCTGCTGATCGGCCGACCACAAGGGCGCGGCGAAGGTGGGGGAGGGAAGGGGCTGCGCCTGTTCGCCTTCTCGTAGTCTTTCTACGATCCGCCATCCGCTCCGACGGCCAGTGCTGACTCCGGTGACGAAAGAGCGATATTCGTGATCGAAGCCAGCAAACCGGAGAGAACGGAAAAGAGCTCGGCAAGAATTAAAACAAGTTGGAGCGGAGTGAGGGAGAGGAAAGAGAGATAGAGAGGGATAGAGATAGTTGAAAGGTGGGGAAAAAGGAAACTAAGAAAGAGAGCGGCTACCGACGTCGCGACGACGATTTTTTTCGTATCGCCGTCGATACTTTTGAGGCAGAATCGATGCGACCATCGGACTAACTGATGAATGGACGAACGAATTATGGTTTGGACGATTAGTGGATCTTCGAGGAAGTTTTTTTGATTGGCTGCTCGATTACTCGACCATCTGCACCATCGCTGATGACGCGACGCTAATTAACGTCGTTGTCGATAAAGTGGTCGCGTGTACAATAATATCGAGACCCACTACGAGAGACTTTATACCGCCTCGGAGCAGGTGGCACGAAGGTTTGTTTCCAATTAATCATCTCAGGACGGTATTTTACGCGCTATTAATATACCCGCGAACTGTCTTCCGTAGAATATCGGAAATAAATACACTTGAGAGTAAAAAAGATGCGGAAAATCTCGGCAAGGATCTTCGACTCCGAGGAATCTTGGCCTCTCAATATGGCCGCCTCCGATTGATTCCTTCGTTTTTGTTTCTTTTCTCTTGAGCTTTGTTTCGATTGTCTGGAAAAGAAAGGTAAAGAATGGTAGATTCGTGGGACGAAGGTGATCGATGGTGAAATCATCAGCCGTGCGAATTGATCGTGCCAATCGCTGATGATTCCTCCGAGTCGATCGTGCACTTTTGCACGCGCGCGCGCGCATCTGTCGGAGTCGGTTAAAGCCTGTTCTACAACAGGGTCGTAAGTCGCAAGCCGTAAGAAACTGGCCAGTCATCAAATCACAGTTGAGTATAAAAAAAATAATCGATACTATGGTTAATTTCTTACGACTTACGGCTTGTAATCTTATTGTAAAACAGACTTAATGGCAGAAAACAAGACAAGCCATATAAATGTAAGATTAATTTTAATCTTGGTTTAACTTTACTATCTATTTTTTTCTAATTTCTAGAAATAGAAAAAGATAAATAATAAGTTAAACCGAGATTGAAGTTAATCTTACATTTGTGGAACCGGGCCGTACGTGTTTAATACTCGTTTCTACCAATGTAATTTAATTTTAATCTCGGTTCAATTAACTCCTTATCTTTTTCTTTATCTTAATTTTAAAAATTAAAAAAAGATGAAAAGTGAATTTAGCCGAAGTTAAAGTTAATATTTGATAGAAACGAGCATTCGATTGTTTTATGTTTATTTCAATGTAGATCGATTAGCTTTATCTCATTTCTTTCTTATCCTTTCTTATTCTAAGGGCTATTTTCACCAAGCTGATTAAGCTTAATCAATGATTAAACTGTCAACCGCAATTGGTCAATTCTACAAAACAGCAAACGCGATTGGTCAGTCAACGGCTGATTAAGTTAACTGGCGTTGCTAAAACTGACCCTAGGAATTAGAAAAAGATAAAAAGTAAATTAAACCGAGATTAAAGTTAATCTACATTGATAGAAATGGACATTAAGCCCAGTTTTACCAATATAAGATTATAAAAACTTATATTTTATTCTTATTTTCTAATTCTTAAAACTAGAAAAAGATAAAAAGTAAATTATACCAAGATTAAAGTTAAAATATGTATTAATAGAAATAGGCATTATTTTAATAATTTGAAAAAGATAAACAGTGATAATTAGAGACACTTGGAAAACATTTGAATAACTGCTATGGTAGTCATTGACCGATGCTATTGAAATTTTCTAAAACATTTATAAGAATAAATGCTATCTAATATAAAATCTGAAGTAGCATAAATAAGTAGATAATCATGCAAAGCAGAAAGTGAGCTTCAACAGTATTGTATTATTATATGTTAATATTTTATTGTTACATGTTTATATAATACTTTATCACATTATATATGCTAAATATGTAAATGAAAATTCTATTATAGTATATATGCATGTGGCAAAAATTGACTAGAGATTATACTAATTTCCACACTGACTTTCAAATGATTATGTGAACTCTGTAACACTATACTTTCCTGGAGGTTGCTATCCTTTTGAAATTCGATATTTTTAGACTTGCACATTTAAACTTAAAGATGTCAAAAACCTCCTATAAAAACCGATAATTTTCACGATAATCAGATTATTTTTTTTGAAATTTAAATTTTAGAATTCTGAAATCAGAATCAAATTCAGTAATCCCGAAAATCTTTAGAAAGCTACAAGATCTTCCTGAGAAAAAAAACTGTTAACTAAATTGTTTAATTAAATTTAGTCAAATAAACAATTTTTTTTCTCAGTGCGTAAGTTAAAATTATAACTTTGTTAGAAAGCTCCTGTCCTCGAAGGAGGAGTTAAGAAGCTTTTCGGGTGTCCATTATTATCATTTCAATTCACTCAAACGCTGGATCGCGGATAAAGGCGTTTCCTCCAACTATACGACTGTATACGACTAGAATATCGCGGGCCAGAGTTGGCCGGCAGCGCCGGGGTTAATCATGGCGCCGCGCTGATACCGTTCCCCGCGGCCGTGGGAGCCACTTGACTAAACTCGATCTACGCGTGATCGCATAAGCTAATAGTGATTCGGTCTTCCCGACCGATTGTCGCGATACATCGTCGGTCTTGGCCATCGTCGACTCGACTCCAACCGTACCGCCTGCGCTTTTCCGCGACTCCCCCTTCTTCCCCGCAGACGCTCTGCGGTGCACTTCCTTTTAAGCGCCGACGGAGCGGTGGGAAGTCTTAAAAAGAACGTCTGCAGGCTCGCGCGAGACACGTCGATCGAGTCGATCGGGACACGGCCATCGAACGCCGATCGTCGCTATTGGAAATGCGGCCATATTTACGTTGACTTCCGTGCGGCGACATTTGGAGCGGAAGAGGACCCGAACGAGACGCCGTATCGACGTTAGGTCTGCGCGGTTGGTTCTCCCTCCCTCTCTTTTCCCTCTTTGTTCTTGCACCTTCCTAGAACGCAGGAAGGTACAAGAACAAAGAAAAAGAAATCAATCGTGTAACTTTTTTCCTAATGCGGAAACGTGAAAATTTTTATGTTTATGTACTCGTATGTATACCCAGATAATATTTCCTACAGCATAAAGTTGCACAAAAGTTGCAGCAACACTGCTGCAATATTGCATGTTGCAGCAATATTGCAGAGATTTTGCAGTGATATTGCTGCAAATTCTGTGCTGTATGGATTATGTTGCATAAGATATTTAAAAGACGTCTTTAGATATCTTATGCAACATAAAATGTTATCTGGGTAGGTCCATTTTTTATTCCTGCACTAGAACTCTTTTTCTCGCTTTCATCAAGTATCAACGGCTGCGTTCAATACGATTGGTTCTTGCTTTTGATTCCTTATGGATCCAAATGTATGAACCAATCATATTGAAGAATTTGACAACCGTTGCAGAGCTGCGTTCTCTACTAAACGCAGCCAAATATGTACCTATCTCACTTTAAGTTCCAAAAGTGTATATACCTGTTCACCTATAGAAAACAGGATATCGGTCATGAAACTTATTTTCTAGGGCGGAAATGTGAAAAGTGAAAGCTGTTGTATGTGTATAATGTGTGTATATTTACACATATATACGTACATAAAAATTTTCACTTTTTATCATATTTCCGCGTCAGAGAAAAAGTTACACGATTGACCCTCTATGGAGTTGGCCGACTTTGGATTCTTTGGAACTGCGTTTTCTCGCGATCTCACGACGCAATCTGAAAAATCGTAGAAATCACGCTCAGCAGGAGGGATGTAGATTGTGGCATAGGGAAAAGACGGGGAAAAGAATAATCCTGTAAACGCATAATATTATTTAATATTTTAAGCATATTCTTAGAATATTAAATTTACATTTAATATTTTAAGAATATGCTTAAAATATTAAATGTACATTTAATATTTTAAGAATATGCTTAAAATATTAAATAATATTATGCGTTTATAAGGAAAAAGTCGCGTTACCGACGCGATATCAACGTACACCCAAGGACTTCGATTCTTTCCCTCGGAAATTTTCACAAACTGAGAAGTGACCTGTTTTTTACATTAATGCTCATAGTAATTTAGTTGTAAGTGAACGTAAGGTTTAGGTCCAGTTCCACAACTCACGGTTAACTTAACTCTTAACCGAGGTTCAACTTATTTATTGTCTCTTTCCAATTCTAGAATCAGAAAGAGATGAGAAACAAGTTGAACCTCGATTAAGAATTAACCGTGAGTTATGGAACTGGGCCTAAACCTTATGCTCGTTTCTACCAATTGTAGATTAACTTTACTCTCGGTTTAACTTACTCTTCATCTTTTTCTAGTTCCAAGGATTAGAAAAAGAAGAAGAGTAAATTAAACCGAGATTAAAGTTAATCCACATTGGTAGAAACAAGCCTTAGGCTCAGTTCCACAACTCACAGTTAACTCTTAACCGAGGTTCAACTTATTCATTGTCTTTTTCTAATTCTAGAATTAGAAAGAAATGAGAAACAAATTGAACCTCGGTTAAGAATTAACTGTGAGTTGTGGAACTGGGCCTTAGTCGTGTCGTTAATTGCGTACGGATGACAGACTATGAGCACTGTAAAAAAAGTGGTCACTCCTCAGTTTGTAAAAATTTCCGAGGGAAAGAATCGAAGTTCTTGGGTGTACACCGCGCGTGATTTCGCGACGTGAATTTCACGTGGCTCCGATACTTTCGCGATGGCCGCGCGCGACCTGCCCCTGCATTCCGTAATTCGTTATGCAATCGTTATGTGCTCATAACGACAGTTGCGCAGATATTTTACATAGTAGAAAAGCTGCGCAACTGTCGTGACTGTTATGAACACATAACGAATTATAGAATACAAGGGCTGGCGACGATTCGGGCGACGCGTCCTCCTCGTCTCGCGGAGTATTAACGATCGCAATACGCTCCTGCTTTGCAGGCGCGTTTGTCCGATAGATCCAACCTCGCGACGTCGCGATTAGAGTGGTGGCGGCAAAGGAGGTGGTTAGAGAAGGAGGAGGAGCAGGAGGAGGGAAAAAAAAGAGGAGAGATCGAACGCGAGAGGAAACGTCGTGGCCTCCGAGGATTACTTTATCACGCGGAATTATTTTCTCGCCGGATTTTTCAAAATTTTACGATCAAACGGGAAAAAGGAAAAAGAAAATATGGCGGACAAGTACCACTACCACCACCACCACCATCGTCACCGCTGCTGCTGCTTTTGCTGCCGCGTGTCTGCGTCGCTTCCATTGTGAGAAAAAACGGACGTAGACACGCAGTGGCATGCACGTTTATACGTCCGGTTGATATTTCCGTAACGTGAACCGGAATTTATTCGAGCCACGTGCTCACGACGGCTGAAGAGGATGACGACGTCGACGACGGCAAATAAAAGTTGAATTGTTACGGCTCAATAACAATACGACGGAAAGTACAGTCGGCGCGCCACTGGCTGAGCGCGATATCGCGCCGATAAAGGTTTTTAATCGCTCTTGACTCGCAAGAGTCGAGAGCGGTCGGACGGGAACGTTCGAGGCGTTCGCAACGAAAAGCGTCGTCGCCCCCGTCGTGCCGTGCGACGCGTGAATTGGCGTGAATGCGCCTGCTGCG